GCCTAAGAGTATGTCGCTAAGTGGCTTTATGGAAGCGTAATCATCTCCACTTCAGGTAACAGATGTTGTTTGCATGGCTCCTGACCCACATTCTGGTCCTCCTTTTTTCCTACCTGCTTGTCAATTGGCCGCTGCCAAAACATTGAACCTAGTACGAAGGTATGAATACCAAGATGGTGTGGCCTTTTGTGTGGTCGCAGTCTCCTTTTGTTGTATAGAGGTTGTTTTTGCAACATGGTCATATTGGTCGGAAGACTTATTGAAACGCACACAGTCCGGGATCCATTCTCTGCATGATCATTTCCAAAGTTGTACCACGTCCACGGTTCAACTTTGGAAATGATCATGCGGACAATGGACCCCGGACTAGGTGCGTTTCAATAAGTCTTCCTACCAATATGACCATCTTGCGAAAACAAGGTCAAACAACCTCTATTGAACCTCGTTGTCGCAACTTGGTCTTGTCGTCAGGGCGATTTAGTAGAATGCACCTGTCCGAAGTCGTCTGCCATAGTAGTTGTCATGATTCCCAGCATCAGACAGTGGACTTGGTACATTCTCAATGTTTTCGCCGGTATCGTAGTCGGCATCATCAGTGAGTTTTGCCATTCGCCGCACCAAGCTACGAACTCGTCAAAGAGACAAGAGAAATCAATGCCTCAAAAAAGATTCTGCCGAAAACGGTAACATTATCACTCCTCTTTTTGTTTACTCTTTACCATCTTATCCAACTCCCACCATATCACAACTTCTCACTTGTTCTGTGGAAAATCTAGTGTGGCCTCATCACACTTGCTATTCACCCCGACCCCCTCTCTTTCGATCGACTAATCCGACTCGGGCCTCCAATCCGGATCCCCTCATTGTCTCGTGGATCCTTTCCTTATCTTTTTGGTTGACCGATTTTACTCGGTTCCAGTCCCAATGTGCATTTTAGCCGATCAAAAGTGAAGGGGTCGGGGTGAATAGCAAGTGTGATGAGGCCACACTAGATTTTCCACAAAAGGACACACATTCTGACGAGTGGAATGTCAACAAGTGAGAAGTTGTGATAGGGCGGGAGTTTGATAAGAGGGTAAAGAGTGTATAAATAGGCCTGGACAGAAAGAGGAGTGAGAGTGTAACCGTTTTCGGCAGGACGGTTGTCGAGGGCTCGAGTTCACTTGTTTCTTTGATGAGTTCGTAGCTTGGTGCGGAGAATGGCAAACCTCACTGATGATGCCGAATACGATTCCGGCGAAACGTCTGACAATGTACCAAGTCTACTGTCTAAAGCTGGGAATCATGACAACTACTCTGGCAGACGACTTCGGACACGGTGCATCAAACTAAGTCGCCCCGATAACAAAACCAAGTTGCGAAAACAAGGTCAACCCACTTCTATAAATCGAAAGGAGACTGGAACCACACCTTAGGCCACAACATCTTGGTCTTCATATCTTCAATCAAAATCCCTGTTTTGTTGTCTCAAATCTGGCTGCCTAAGAGCCTTCCATTCCCGTCCTCGATTACGACATTTCGAGGATTCAGAGCAGATGATGCCAGTGTCTGAAAGTCATCATCTCACTACGCTTCAAACCCGCGACTCCATTATCCTCTCCCTCATCTCCACTCCCATTGTGCCGCATTCTTTGGAGCCCTGTGTCCGGCCTAAATCATAACCGCTGGTGTGAGAATGCACCACTTCCCTTTTTCCTTTGGATTGCGAAAAACACACTCATCTCGACTCTCAAGTTGACATTCTTATCTAATCATACGGTACTGGGGTGATGTCCCTGCGTGTGTGTTTGTTATTTGGTATCCCTCGTGGCCAAGCCTGTCATCAGTCACCTCCTCTTTTGACGCAAATACGAAAATTGCACACGATACTTACGCACACACTCTGATTACCATGTCTGACTGCTCTCACTTCTGTCGCCTTTTCTTGATCTCCCTTTGTCCCTCATAAGCCGCTCTTTGGTGAAGTCTCTTCCTGTCGAAGGTATGAAGACCAAGATTGTGTGTCATGTCGCTCAAAGGAACAACCACACTATCTAAATAAACACGGTAAAAATTGCATTAGGGCAGGGATAATAGGATGCTACCGGAAACGGATAACCCAGGCGGAAGGGGAGATACTATAACTGTTTAGCATACGCTTGGTCAAAGGATCGGCTTCACTTGTCTCTTTGATAGATACCATAACTGTTTAGCATACGTTTGGTCAAAGTAACAGCTTCACTTGTCTCTTTGACGAGTAGCTGTATGGTGCTTAGGATGGCCATACTCACTGACGATGCCGACT